TACAGCGAGCAGAAAACATCTGTGACGCCAGCACCGGTAGGCTTTCTCTTACTGGATTCCCAGGTGCCCTCGAAGCGACAGATGAAACACATGTGCTGAAAAATATTGACGTCCTCACCGCCAACACAGAAGAAGGAAACAGGTCTTGCCACGTGATTCATCCTCTGTGCGGTGAAACAAGTTGGGGATAAGGTTATAAAGAAAGAAGAAAAAACAGAGAGAAAGATGCTCAGAAGCACATTGGAGATCAACAAGCCCCCACATCTAATAAAGCACATTTCATACCTTACCCAGATGCTGTTGTTTTGGTCCTACAGTGAGCCGATTATATTAGAGGTCAGACCCGGTGATGAAATCCCAGGTAACCTGTAGCTGCTGCTGTGTTGACTAAAATCCTAATACAAATGTAATAATGCAGTGGAGCAAAGCAACCCATGTCAGCACGAGGTGAGCACTCGTGCACCGACTACATTTACTGCATTTGTGTCAATAAAGAGCCTGAAATCCTTCAGCCTCCATCAGAGTGCTGAGAATGAGCCCAGCTCAGTGTTTCTCGTAAGGCTCGCCTCTGCAGCCAAATCCTCATGAAGGTTATTGCTGTGTTACAGACCACTGGGCGATATCTCTTTGTTACAATAAGGATGGCTTCCTGCTACTTAGCACAGCATGAAAATGTGCAACAATCTGCTGCTTAAAATATTCAGAAAGAAGAACTATACGCTGTTTGAAGTAGAAACATTTGATACAGTGCCCTGCAGTATCTAAGACATAAAATCATTTTTGTTCTTATTAATTTAGGGACCGTTTTTAAAGATTTGTTTTACACAGACACCATATGGAAGTCAGAAACAGGAAGACAAGCTAAAATAATGTTGATTTGGATCTTTGCTGATAATTCGAACACTTTGTAGTTATTGCAGTGGGCTCGCCAAGACAAGGACAGGACAGCGTTTCACATGCACTTATTCCAATAGAATAACCTCCTTCGCACATTTCAAAAAGAGTCCACGCAGATCGTTTGCTTCAAGGACACATACAACCCTCATTCTCCTAATGTATGCTGTCTCCACTGTGCCAAGCCAGTTAAATCTCGACTCCTTTAATCTGACCCCACCTGCTACCA